GCGCCTTGCAACACACATGTGGAATAGATCTTCACGACCGTGGTCCACCAAGCCTTCCATCCCTCTGGGGTTGGCAAATTGGTACCAGACATGTCTGGGAGGATAGCAGCACAGTCTCGATACATTGGTAGACCACCACGGGTCATTGTAAAGGCCAGATATGCATTCAATTACCTCGAACGGTACTGAATGAAGTCGACATGGCGCACCCCTCAGGGGTTTCAATTCCGAGAGCTTTTTTTATAATGGGTTACGCTGCCCATACACTACATAAATTATTCCCTTAAGAGACAGAGAAGTCTGCACTTAGCACTTTTGGTTCGACGTGAGTTGATTTCCACTAATATGGCGTGAGAAACGACCGTTTTCAATGTTAGTGAAAAATTGCAGCTTAAATTAACCTCATAGGATTTCCTATGCTTGAGGACTCGGAAATTAATTTCGAATTTGTAATTCCATTACTCCTGCACTTGCTTTGGCAACGGTTTTTTCAAACTTTTTTTTCCGACTGCTGCACTACGATACAAAGCTCATTTCATGCACTCTCGCACTATAGAACTGATAATGATATAATTTACGTATTTTAGAAATATCAAAGGTTAGAATTTCTACAAATCTACCTTCATACCAACTCGTACGTAGGTATCGCAAATAGCTGGAGACATTAATGAGGTGTGGGGCTAAGGAATTGTTAATGAAAGCGAGTGCAACGTTGGTTCTGACGATTTCATAATAGCGAATTTGATCTTGCAAATGAGGATTTCGCTGACATCCATCTGCTATTGAAGACGATGAATTGAAGGAATTGGTTGAAGACAATACAAGCATAATTATATGAGAAATTGCAGAACTCGATATAAGCATCATCTCAACTTTCTCAGAACATCTAACAAATTGGAAAGTCGAAGAAACTCGACAGATCGATGCCGTATCAATCAAATAAAAATAAGAAAATCGTCATTTTGAGAGATCATCGGCGTCTTTTCTGTGCAAGCAGTGCGACCTGTTTTGCGCCCGCATTTCAACTTGCGACGAGAAATAGATCCTCTACAAAGCCCACGATGATCACCTCAATAGATGCACCACGATGAATCTCAACAGCATCTAACAAAACTAAAACTGCATTGGAAGGAGTTCAAGTTGACCATCTGGCAGTTCGTTTTTGGTCTAATCAATCAGATCTTACTCATTCCTGGTTAAAAAATTGTGGCGAAAAACGTGTACAGCAAGACGACGAAATGCACCACAAACTTCAACGACTACCTCAGCATTTGCCAACACGATTGGCACTAGTCCTTGCAAACGATGACGCGCCATCAGACGCTGTACTACCGACGCTGTAAAGAATGAATGAACTAGGCAGTGAAACTCTGCCTCCTCCACTGTATTCGATAGACATGTCCACCAACTATCACTTCTTCAAGTCTCTCGACCACTTCCAGCGCTAGGGATGCTTCAGAAACCTAGGCAAAGGTGAAGCTGCCTTCAACGATTTCATCGCCTCTACAAGACCAGGATTTTAATCAACCGGTGTAAAAAAAAACTTACTTTTCATTCACAATGTAGTCACTTTTTATTTACTGTCTATTGTTTTTTATGTCAGTGTATGATACAAATTATAACCACAACGATGCTGAGATGTTTGCAAAATCCGGACTGTAGATGTCCGCAGTAAGATCGACCACAACTCGTTCCGGTGGCTAAGGCGTTCACCATCACACTATGGAGTTCGTTTAGCCCTTTTCAATCCCTTTGACAGGTGAATGCTAATAGCACCTATAAGTTAAAAACACGACTGAGAGAACGGCGAAACGAAGGAGCCGCATGGTGTGGTGGTGAACGCGTTAGCCCCTGAAAGGGTAATGGCGTGTTCGACCGCAGACACCTCCAGTCCTGAGTTTTGCAGATATCGCGTCATTGTGATTACTTTTCATCGTCAAAAATGTGTAGATTCAAACGGCTTGTGAGACATACCATTTCGAAAACATAGGATGAAATCGTGCAGTAATTTCTGAATAACTCAGTAAAGTGGTAAACACTGATTTTATGGATTTCAGAACTCATAACTTTGCAATTTTTGCCTTAAGACTCGTATTCTGAATCTAAAAGCAATTGAGGAAGGGCTATTTCGTCCACAAAAACGAGATGGCATCTCCAAATGCTCTGCTGTGGCCTACGAAATTTTCCTTTGAGATTTAATAACGCAAATTTTCTTTCATTTCTTCCGGAAACATTAATCTTAAAAACTCCTAAACTTCAAAAATTGTATTATCATCTCAAGGAACAATACTCACTCTTAAGTAGATAAAGTCTCTTCTAAAAGCCGATCAGTTTCCAACTCTTCAAGTTCTCTAGTTATCGAAAAATTACCAGCAGTTTGCGAAAAACCAGCTTCAGACTCTAAGTGTTGAACTAAATAAAGTATCTCCATCAATATGTATGAAACAAATAATATGAACAAAATGACATCGTTCAGAACAGATTGATGAAACTTCAAATTCGTCTTCTGGCTGACCAAATACAACTATTTTTTCTAAGGTAAGCACAACATTAATCACCTGTATCACCTCTCACAGATCGAAGAATGACTAGAGCCAACGTCAGAAAATTTTCATTTGTGCCTGTCGCATGCAAATGTCGTATACTGAGTTCTGCTTCCTCTGTAGGCGTTCTGAGCACTATATCCTTGTTCCACGGTTAGCCTTCGTAAACAACTCTAACTATCGAATCGGTGATCTTTCTGCTATGGGTTTGAGATCACGAGCAATCCAACCGCCGACTCCTCCTCTACCGTCGCATGTTGCGAGGAACCGCTTTTCTCCGGTACCCATAGACGGCATTGAGTGGGGGGCATCTCATCCCAACCAATCCCATACGTCTTACCTTATCCTTCTAGAATGCATTATAACGTCCTCAACGGAGGACTCATATGGAAATAAGAGTGCACTAGAAGTACAGATAAGAGTGCACTTTAATTGTACCAGATTTCGTCAAACTAGTACGACCCTGAGATTTCAGTACCCTCTCCGTGGTCAACCTACTCAATGTTGCCGTATTCGGAGCTCTTTCGGGGTAAAGGTAATGAGGCTCAAGTATTTTGCACTATTTAGCATTTGATACATACGGGTTGCTGAACAATGAACGTGGAGACTGGATACATTCACGGGTATTTTGCCACTCTCTTCCAGAGTAGAAATGGAGTTTATATGTTGAAGGCGACTCCTAACCGCCTCCCACGTACTCCCCAGTTACTCATTTGCAGTTTTGACAGAACCGACTTGCAGAATATAATCTTCACAAACGAGAACACACGCACGCATGCATGAACACGTCTTCGTAAACATAAAAATTGTAAGTAAAATCGGCAATATCATTAATAACATCCGGAGATCTACTAAAGCATGACAAAAGATTTCGCAAAGATATAGTTGCAAAATAGAAACACATACGATCAACATTTGAAAATTCACATACCGTATGGTTTCAGACAAGTGTCGGCAGAGCACACTTCATCATCCTGGTGGTATATGATACGTGATCTTTTGCGATCCCTTTTCGATGTATGTTTTCCATTCGAACTGCGCTTTCCTCTTTTAAAACGGAGAAAGAGATGTGGCAATGGGGATGAACGAGCAGGACGACTTCGCAGCAACGTCCAAGCACTAAAACAACTAGCGTTTCTGTAGTACTTTGTCGACAGATGGAGACAACCATCCTACTTCGCATTTCCAGAATATTTAATTTACTTCATTATCTTCCTCAAGTTCGTTAAGTTCACTATTTGAATTTCATAAATATAACTGCAAATGTTTCACTCTATAAATGCATAACCATATGGGCAAATGTCATTTTGCGATATTACTTACTTGATACTTGAATGGCTCGTCCTCACTGGTTGTGCAGGCTCCAGCATAATCTACATTTTCGGAGGTTTACTGGTTAAACCATTATGGTTCCCTGTAGTTCCGAGATTAGCCTAACCAAAATCTGCACCAGGTCCCACGGGCAGTCGCAGCCCTTATGGATCAGAGGGAGATTTACCACAATGCGACTTTGATACCAGGACGGTGGTGGATCCTGGTATTGGCTTACTCTTAACTAGGTTTTCTGATGGAAACGCCGGACTCCTTCTCAGCTTGAGAGACCCTGCCAGGGGATGAATCCCCCGCTGTACATCGCAGCCCGACACCTAGGAACACCTCCCAGCCACGATGAGGCGGTAAACCGTTGGGAGGTGTGCGACATTACACTGGCATTTCGTTGAAACTTATCCACGACAAGCTACATGTCACTTTTAATAAATTCACAATTACCTTTTCTGCTGGTCAAGAATATGAGAACAAGTTCTTTGAATAAGAGGAACCAATTTGGGCAGAACGTCCATATCCAGAACTTCGCATGCTAACAATGACTCAATTACTGACTGAGCTCTAAAAAAGAATAAACTTCCATTGCGAGCGGGATTTTAATGCTTCTTAACACTTTCGCGACGACGCCTAATTTTTTGCTGTGTTCATTGTAACACCTATGAATCAGCCACTCCGGTGGTTTGCAGTTAGCACCGCCCCTTTTCGCGTGATTTTCGTTCTATAAACTTCTGTGCGTGAAAAAAAAACACTTATCTACTATTTAATCAAACTGCTGTCAGTATTCAATGAAATTGTATAACCCCCAAGTCCATTTCTATTAACCTCGGCATTGATTGAATAATTCTTTCTACTTCTGTTCGGCAAACACGAGGTGCTATTTTATTTCTTTATTTACGTACAAGCTGACGTTTCTACGGATTTCACCTTCCTCAGAGCCTGGAAAGGTCAAGTTGACTTCAATCTACACGGCTAAACACCTCCATAACCAAACAGAGAAAACGCTAAACCAAGATTTCAATCACATTTAACATAGCTCTGCACACTCACCGCTTTCTATGAGTCTTCCACTGAGTGTGTCGCGTGAAGAACAACCGCACAGAATTCACATGGAAGCGTAATGTGCCCCTCCCATCAGAATAACAGGTTTATATACTGTCCAATATCACGCGTGATAACAAGGCATTCCTCCCTGCGGCTCATTTTCGGATTCTTGGAATTAATCCAGAATGCCTCTAGAGTTTTGCGCGCTTGTGTTCTTGATTCCTGCGCGAGGATGATAACCCTTACTTCAAAATCTCCGTTATGTCTCTGCGTCCTATGCGTGCCTAATGGAGTATTTGGTTTACGTTTGCCGACTAGGTGTTCTTTTATACGTACGCAGAGTGGTTCACTCGTTTCGCCAACGTATTCGTCCCCGTACGCTTTACAAGAGATCAGATAGACTGTACCCGAACTCATGCAGTCACCGTCTCTACCATTGGCGAAAACTATGCGATTTTGCGTTGCACATAGACGGTCGTATAGGCGGTTACGAACTAGCTGGCGTCTTAGAGTACTCGGTGGCATTTCGATTATCGTTACCGAATTCTCTAGACTGGCCCTTCTTAAACAGCGTTTTATAGCTGCACTTACTTCATTTGAAATGAAGGACAGTATAAATGGGATCTTGTTGTCGTTGGAGTTAGCGTTGGAATACCTGTGGTTTCCTATACACCTATCTCGAGCAACAGTTTCGTAGCCATTAAAAATGGCTATTTGCCGCGCCAAGTTCAGGGACTCCTCTCTCTGCTGTCTTCCTGTGCACACGCTGGTAGCTGTTCGATACATGTTTCTCACAAGCGCCCTTTTCGTGTGAGAGGGATGAGAGGAGAGGTAATAAACCAGGTTGTTTTTACTTCTCGGCTTTCGATACCATTTCGTAATGTAGCCGTTTTCTGATGGGCTAATTTGCACGTTCAGAAATGGAAGCCAGTTTTCTTTTGGTTTCTCTCGGGTGAATTTAATATACTCTGACTGTTCGTTCAACAACTCGAAACATNTACACCTATCTCGAGCAACAGTTTCGTAGCCATTAAAAATGGCTATTTGCCGCGCCAAGTTCAGGGACTCCTCTCTCTGCTGTCTTCCTGTGCACACGCTGGTAGCTGTTCGATACATGTTTCTTACAAGCGCCCTTTTCGTGTGAGAGGGATGAGAGGAGAGGTTATAAACCAGGTTGTTTTTACTACTTGGCTTTCGATACCATTTCGTAATGTAGCCGTTTTCTGATGGGCTAATATGCACGTTCAGAAATGGAAGCCAGTTTTCTTTTGGTTTCTCTCGGGTGAATTTAATATACTCTGACTGTTCGTTCAACAACTCGAAACATTTGTCAATTTCTTCTTGTGTTGAACAAATGACCAAACAGTCATCTATATATCTACAGCAGAGTAACGGATCGAGGTCGATTACTGGCGCTTCCACCTTAGACATGAATGCAATGGCAAGACTTGGTGCCAGTCGTTGTCCCATTGCCAGCCCTCTCATTTGTGCGTAATACATCCCGGACCACCCGAAGATTGAGCAGTTTAGGCACTCCTTTAAGAATGACACCAACTGCTGAATCGAGAAGCCGTACATGTTTATTGCTCCTTCGTGTTGTATAAGGAGCTCGCTTATGGCTTGCATAGCAGAGTCATTCGACACGTTCGTATAGAGGGCAGCGACGTCGAAGGACTCCACCACGTACGCGCTGTTGGGTCGCGCGTTACGTAGACGATCCAGAAACATTTGGGTGTTCGATAGATGGGCTGGAATGTACTTCAACAACTGAGTAAGTATTAGGGTTATTAACCACGTTATTCTATCCGTTGGCCCGTCCACGCAGCTAATGATAGGTCTAACCTTAAATAAGGATGGATCGGTAGACACGAGATCATCGCTGGATACTAGCTTATGGGTTTTGATAAGTAAGTATAAGACGGGACATGTTGGTAAGTCAATTTTGAGATGAGAGATAACTGATGGTTTTAACCCAGCGGCTCTTGCCACGAATGGGTTAAAGTGGCAACTTTCTTAAACAATAACACGGTCTTGCTGGTCTTTCACTGAATAGGAACCTTGCATTCTGAGAGGTAACATGTGAAGAGCTGACTCAGTGTGCTGGTGAGGAGTGACAGAGGGCTTTTCAAGTGTTCAGGTCTTACTCTGACCGGACCAGCTGTTGTCCAATTCTTCACCGACGAAGTATCATGTCGGATTTCGGAAGGAAGAACCAGTGGTATGAGATATCCATCCTCCTTTGTGGTGGTTTTTAGATTTGGTTTTTCCAATTTAGCGGCTTTTCCTCCTTCCCGCGAGAAATGAAATCTTGCACGAAGGAGAGGCGTTGGTCTGATACCGTTTAGAACATTGAGACTACAGCGAAATCGATTAGGCAAAACCTTCGGTTTACAATGGGCTATTTTGTCATGGTACTCTCCACCGGAGGACTATTACGTCAAGCGATGAGATTGGGGCTTCTGGAATTTCAAGTTACCATGAATATTCGAAGTCGCCATAATAAACTCATACAGCCACTCACCCTGCTCCTTTCATTCTAATCCGTGGATCCCAATATGGGATTCTTCAAACGCTCTTCTGGGTCGAATCTTAGCGTTGAAATCACCAAAAATCACCAGTAATAAAGAAAACATGGTCTTTTTACAGAATTTCTCCAAGTCCATACAAAACGATTCGACTTCTACTTCGCCATAGCTTGATGTTGATACGTAAGTGACGGAGATTGTCAAGGCTGGTATTGATCCACATCTTTTCAAGCTTAAATTTCCTATTCGAATTGTTAGTCACCCTGATAAATCGATGATAACGGCCAGATTCGTGTTAATGAGGACGCTGACGTCATCGCCTTGCCTACTGTCACCTCTTCTGAGGAACAGCTCTCCAGTGGTGTCATAAACAGTCTTGAATGAATGGCGCCTACTCGTTTCAGCTAGTTCGAAGACGTCGTACCTTATTAGTTTTGCCTGCTTGACCAGGTCGTCTGTCGAGGACTCAGATGTAGGTGTGCGTGCATTAAAGATCGTCGTCACCCTATTCCTTTGCGATTTAGGCAGTTTAAACTGGCTCTGAGATTTTAGCAACATCTCCACAGTTGCCGTTTCGAGGGCTCTTTTGAGATTAGAGAGATGATGCTCACTTATTTTACTGTGTCCAGTATTTGATACCCACGCATTGCTCGCAGCTCACTGAACTCTGAACAGGTCCTGGAGATACTCACAGGTAGTTTGTCGGTCTCTCCCAAAATAGAATAGAAGCTTATTTGTTGAAAGTCACTCCTAAAACCGCCTCCAATGCACTTCCCCTTCCCACTTAATTCATCGAAGACTTTTCGCCAAATTGACTCGTAAAATACAATACGCATAAACGAGAGCACACTCACGCGCGCATGCACATATCTTGGTACAAACAGAAGCTAGGTGTCAAATTGGCTCGGCAAAAACAGAGAGTACATCCTTGTACTGATTTACATCTCAGAGAAGCATAAGATCGCTTTTAGCCTGCGGTCAATACCATATCCGCCCCCTGAAAACGTGTCACGTTGCTTCACGACTAATCGGTCTGAGAACCCATTATGAGGTAGATCCGTGTTCTGGCAGTAATAGTTGTGCAAACCTTGCCGAACGTGGGATCTATATGCTCTTGCTATTATTCACTTTCCCAAAGTAGACGAAGTGTGTTTACTCATTGGAGGCGATTTTTTTCCATGTACTTTTGAATTATTTCGCAGCAGCCTTTCGCCTGATTAACATAAGCTTAGATTTTATGGCAGTTTAAGAAATTTTATTCTCCTTCTCTACAACTGTATAGTAATTTACGAGTGCAATGCGAACGAGTTCTGACTACGTAAAGAACAATGTGCACCTCCTAAGTGAAGCGTGTTATCGATGGAAAGAATACATACTTCTGCTGAGTATCCACAGAAGAACGAGTACCAGAAGTTTGTCAATGTGAACGCAAAGTTTTTGTAGAAAAAATATCTTAGAAACTTCGCCATTCGAAAATACGACCATCTTAAATAAATATCGTTTTCAAAGTAACATCATGAGGTTCTTTACAATAGTCACATACCTCCCGTGTACTAACAAAAGCCGTTCCAGATATTTGAACTGTCCAACCGAATAGTCTGAAGCTAGAACAGCTTGCATTCCTTCATGACCTAAACAGAAATCATCAAATTCATACTAAAGCGAAATGGAGAAGAAGTACTTCACATGCCTGAGATGCCGACCCCTATATGGGCAGTCTTTATCATGGACACGTCGTTGGCGCCGTCACCGATAGACAGCGTTACGGCTTTTTTGTTCCTCTTCACCAGATCGACCACTTGAGCCTTTTGAAGTGGCGTCACTCTACAGCAGATAACCGCCTTAAATATTTCTTACTTAGTTTTTGACATAACATTTTTTTGACAAACAGACATTGAGATTTCGAAAACAACACGACCACTCAAGGACTACTCACGCCAATCTGTTTAAAATCATAGGTTTGAATCCTAGAAGGAATCAGAGAAAGCTATTTAACGTCTTCAGATTACAAAAAACTTGACCTCGACCATGTCTCCATTTCAGCTTTTAAAGAATATGATAACTCAACGCCATACAATAATATAATTTCACCTACTTAAATGTTTGAATTCTTTGGACATATTGACTCTTACATTCAATGAATGCATTCGACGCCTTCGATATCCCTTTTTTCCGCAGTCACGAATTTGGGTAACTAAACTTATAACCCAATTATTTATCGATTCACTATGCATGGAAGATGTTCTAACTGCGATGTGTAGCCAAGAGCTCATCTTTCTATAATTCCACGCATATTGTGAAGAAGTCCAACATTGCCATCTGGGAATCACAGTAAGAGTATATTTATATCACTGCTGAACGCAGGAAGTTGCTAACCTATTGCCGAAAACAGTAACATGTCAAAATTGCAATTCTTGTTTCCTTCCAGTTGGCGAAGACACCAGAGCAACTCCGGTGATTGGCGACAATGAATTAGACACGACGACATATATAATATTATTGATATCAGCCGCAGTCTTTCAAGAATTTATGGCACTGTAGACGATACAAGTGACAAACTTCTCACCACTTCCCTCATCATTTCCAAGTACTGAGAACATCTACTAATGGCTCTTATCACTTATAAATAGAAGGTATTCATTGGACGATTTTTCGCCATAAATCGCTTTCACATTCAATGCACGGATCACAGCACTTGTATTCGATTCGCTTCCTCGCATCCATCGTTCACGTAGGTCTTCTGAGTTTTGTGCATGGGCTCAATTGTTGCTTGAGGATATTCCTTTAGTCATCAGTGTCGGTGAATGCTGGTCAAGGCGATTCTCCCTGGATTCCTGAGATAACCGGGCTGCAATGTTCCTTGTTGGACCACAGAGAGTCCAATTTCCCCAGAGAATTCAGGCACCAATTTCCTGACCCTAGCGTTATAGAAGGCTTGGTGATTACGGTGCGGGGTAGAACTAGCACTACTCGCACTCTATTCATTGGTTAGGGAAAAAGAAAATATTGCAGGATACAACCGCAACGATGTTGAGATAATGTTAACTTTTTTATTTACTGCCCATTATTTCCTCATTGCAGGGTATTATTTGTGATACAATCACAATAACGCTGAGCTAACTCGAAAGGCCGACTTTCTATAAAGCTCGGCATAGATAGTTGATATATTTATTTATATGATCTTATAAACTGATGTTCTTGAGGTTGGTACAGGTCTCCGTTGTCGTTGTCATTGTTTTTGATGTTATTGATCGATGGTTGACGTTACGGCGACTTCGCCTTCCTCAGAGTCCGCAAGGGAGTCCCGCACGTAACATCACGGGGATCAGTTTATAAGATCACATAAATTAATATATAAACACTGAGATATTTACAAAACTCCGGACCGAAGGTGTATGCGGTGAGCAACAAACGCGCTATTACCCTTTCCGGTAGGCAACGCGTTTACCACCACACCATGCAGGTCCTTCGTTTCGCTTGTCTTCCAACTAGCACTATTGATCAGTGCCCCCGGAAAGGGTAATAGCGCTTTCATTCTCTACTGCATACACCTGCGGTCCGGAATATTGCACATATCTCAGCATCATTGTGGTTGTATCACACATACCCTGCAATGAGGAAATAATAGGCAGTAAATAAAAAAGTGAACATTGTGATTTCGACTACAGTCTCAGCTTAACTCGGTTCATTGCCGATTGGGCGCCCCAGATCAATCCCGTTGATGGGTGATTGCTGATGGCACTGATCTATAGAACTAGCTGAAAGACAGGCGAAACGAAGGACCCGCATGGTATTGTGGTGAATGCGTTAGCCCTCGGAAAGGATAATCATTGTGATGCTGAGATATTTGCGAAACACCAAATCGCAGGTGTATGCGGTAGGGATCGAACACGATATTACTCTTTCCGGGGGATAACGCGTTTACCACCACACCATGCGGATTCTTCGGAATACATACCTACACTTTTCGATTACATATTTTATTTCCTAAAAAGGAAGTAGCACACCAAGTTTCACGTGTTTTTTGTGACCTAATATACTTTACTATACATACGTCATCGGTGTCGATTCGAATCTTGTATAATGGAGTAGTGGAAGCAAAGCCAAAATAGTGAAAGAAACCCTGGAGAATCGGCATAAATAAAGGATGACTACTTTCGTTTAATATCGTTAGTTTTATTTCTTCAGAAAAAAATAAATGGGAACGGTGTATGTGTTAGAACGGCTCCAAACAAACTGACCGCACACATGGTGGCGACTTCAAGGAAAATTCGCTCGAGCCGCTCGTCGAGCGCGAAGGCGAGCGAGTCGCCGTTGATGACCAACGCCACACTGGCATCGCCGTCTTGCGTTTCCGTTGGAGAGCGTTGTGCATTCACCACTGAAACCAGACAAGCTTGAAAGAATTCCATTCTCACTCATCTCAAATCGCTCGCCATATAGGTTGGTCTGAGTGTTCAGTAATCCTGTTATCGCAAAACATATTGTATTTTCAATAACATATTTGTATTATTTTTTATTTGTTTGTTTTTGTTGTTTTTGTTGTAAAATATTTGTTTGCCTAAAAACGTTGTCACTAACACTATCACTACAAGTACTCAACGTTCTGGAAACTTCTAAACAAAATTTAACCCACGTAAATAGAAAGTGGACACTTTTCGTTTCCAACTTCGAAGCATTTTTCAAAAGCGCTTTGCATAAGATTCATGGGAACATGGAACGAGTTCTAGTACGTAGAATGAACGCATGAAAACAACGCAGGAAGTGGGAGAAGCTCCTACATAAACGCGCGATAGTTCCATAAGCTGATGATGAACATGTAATGGAGGAGGGATATTTTCTCGCCTTTCTACTGTTCCATTTCTTAGGCAATGACTGGTTCCGGAAATCATGCACAGTAAATGGCTCCGATCATTGTATTGTTTGAAGGACTCACAATACGACGTAAGATGGAATGGCAGTTCTGACAGGCGGTACGTTATTCTTGTCACTCAGGAAGTACAGTAGGTGACTCAGAAAAATCATTCAGTGGGCGTGAACACATAGGAAGTCAGCTACTGTGAGGTGGATTCTGCCAAGAATTGTTGTAAATCCGACTAGTCTCCGTAGAATTCGAGGAGCTCCGTAGTATATCATTGTCCACAGGTGATTCATATCTTGGACGTGGATAACTTTTGAACAAAACTTGTCCTCCCCCGGAAACCTATTGAATGCTGACAAATAGTGAATTGTTTTAGCTTTAAACGGAGCACACACATCTGTAGAAGCGGACTTCATGGCGTTGTTGGAAAATAGCCCGTAGTAACGATAGGTCCCAAAGGTGATGGCTCAAAATCTAAAATATGGACTGTATTCGAAGTACTATTTTGGAAAAGAAAAACCAATTTTCCAGATTTAAATGCTTCTTTCAACTTCGCCCGTTAGATTTTCTTTAATCTATAGGTCGGCTAAGTTCTGGAAGAACTCGAGAGCTCTAAGACGGAAAATCTGTCTCTAATTTTACACCGCTGTCGATTGCTTCTGCTGAAGACCTGGAAACGTCTCGGATTGAAAACACGATCGACCTATGGAAACGAATAGAAGTTTTACGAGAGCCAATTTATAAGGGTGTGAGATCTAGTATTCAGGAAAAATGACCTTAGGCTGTTATATTTGGTATCTGGTCACCAGGCGGCAGTGGTTTCGGCGTTACTAGTACAAAGCTGTCGTTGGTGAAAGGTAGAGGACATACGCAGGACTCGATCAGATCTAAGCAGTCCTTTCAATATGTGGTCAATGACAAGATCCCCGAAATTCCTTTCTTACCATATCTTGTCTAAAACATTTAATTGGCCGCTTTTGACATTGGTTTTTCCAAGCACTTAAAATTCCGTTTGCGACAAGCACATCGGCAGCACTAACTTTTTGGAATTTCAGATTAAAACTTAAGAGATCCTTCTATTCTCAGCTGCCAGTGTTATGGAATGAAGACATCCAGTCTTTCTAAACGTTGCATCGGTGGTATTTCACTATAAATAGGCCATTTAAAATTGATATTATTCTCGACGGAGGTGTAAGAAGCGCAGTAGCTAGACATTCCGTGCAAAACTGGCACGGTCGCTTTTCGACCCCACAATGCACAAGCCATGCCGAACTTCCACCTAGAGCAGAGAAACTGATGCCATAATTCTCCGTGAAAAGCTCCCTTTGACCAAAAAAGATCAGTGACTGCCGTCGACGAACAGTTGAGAACTCTCTAGGGGAGCTGTCTCAAAATTCCAAAAAGAATTAATTTGCACAATATTTGATGTCGGATTATATTAAAAATATCTCATAATACGTATATAATGCTGAGATATTTGCAAAACTCCGGACAGCAGGTGTATGCGGTGGGGAACGAACGCGCGCTATTGTTCTTTCCGGGAAGTGGCGCACTTCACCACCACACCAGACCCGGAAGGTGTGGTGGTGAAGTGCGCCACCTCCCGGAAAGAACAATAGC